ATAAAAGAATAAAACGGCCGATAAAAAACGCCGTAAATGTTTGTTCTTGTCTAATTTAAATTCAAGGAGATTAGAATCCCGTTCTATTTTACAAGATTTACGAGGTTGCGTATCGCGGAATACCAAATTTCGGCCGTTCGTTCGTTGCCGAATCGACGCACTTTTCATACGTAATGAGCTAAGTTTTGTCATGCAGCGTTAATGGGTTATGGCAGTTTCGCTTTATAGCCAGAAACAAATATGTTCGTCTGCGAAGCTTGAATTCGTTTGTCGCCAGTTGGAATTTTCAGGCACATAACACGTCAAAAATTTCGTCAAGTAGGTTGACTCAGGTCATAAAGGATCAATTTAAATCCTCCGAGAAAAAAGTAAATTTCGAACTTGTACAACAGAGAAACTAAACGTATCAAGTTAGTCAAACAGGTCTATACAATTAGTCGATAGACATTTGTTAGCGAGAATGTTATCGCTAACGATTTTCGGAAAGTGAATCGTAACACGAACTTGGACTTGGATTTAATCTAAAGGAAAATAGATTAACACTAAATGATGTGAGTAACAATGTAGAACAACAATTAAAACGAAGAATGGACCTGGGTGGCTACCCTGAAGAACTCCCGATGAAGGAGTAACGACTCTGAGTTTGTATCTTCACGCACGAAGAATTCTCTACCGCAACCTCAGCAAGTTTTGCTAATAGCAAATTATGTTTAATTCGATCAAAAATATTTCTGTCCAAATCATCGGAAACGAAGTAAAAAAAGCAAAGCAGATCGGTATACAGGAACCTTCTCGGAAAAAATCCATGCAGTTGCTGATTGATTATGGTTTTTACATCAAAAAGTATTTCGTTATAAATTAGCTTTTCGAACATCTTTGAGAATAGGATATAATACTAATGGTATGATATAAGGAATCTTAATGAATTACAGTTAATGAAATAATATATGTGTTCATTCCAAGAAAGGTGTCACAAATGCAGACGTTTGTCGTCAATCTGTTTTCGGTAAATTATTGCAAAATTCATTCATATACTGAAAATCGTGTATGAAGTTGTAAGGCGTTACGCAATATTATAAAGTATTACGTGCAACCAAATATAAATAATCAGAAAATAACTAGGGCAGGCTATTTGGTGTTGATGTAAAATAATGTGTCAATAAAATTTGTATTTTACCTATATTTTTTACAACTGAACATAGCAGTACGTTTAATACTTTTCGTCTGATTGTTTCATGCTGTATAACGATAGAAATGAGTGAAAAACAACGTCATCAGGTTATTCTTTGTGAAAAAATGCATTTTTTGTACATTTCTTATGCATCTTTTCTTCAATCGTAGTTTCACGAATGAAATGCTGGTATAGGATTTGATTTTCAAAAAAAACACAAAAAATTTAAAAAAACGGTTAAATCTTTATTTGAGTCGATAGAACGGTCGATATAATTTAATGTTTAACGATTATTTCATGTAAATGTTGGCCGCGGCTCCGCTTTAGATGGCCCATGCGCAAGGTCCAATTTTGGCACACTCTCTCCAACATATCGGCCGGTATCTCACGAATAAATGCTTCAATATTGGCTTCCAGTGCGTCAATCGTTACTGGTGTATCCCTGTAGACATTAGCCTTAACATGGCCCCACAAGAAATAGTCCAACGGCGTTAAATCACACGATCTAGGCCGCCAATTGTCGCAAAATTTTCCACGGTCATCACTAACACTGGCGGATACAGCCGCAATATTTTCTTCAGTTCTCACTCTATGTCTGCGTGTTGGTGGTTTAATGTCCAATAATGTAAAATGGGTTCGAAATTTAGTCACAAGCTTCCGAATAGCTCCCTCAGTAGGCCGACCAAATTGCCCATAAATTGGAAGCAGTGCTCGATGCACTCTCTTAACCGAGCATGAATTTTAACACGTTCACTGCGAACGACGCTGATCCGCGTCCGACCGATGTTTAACGAAAGGCGGCGGGCGCGGATCCGCGCTTCTGGCTGATATAAACTCACAAAACTGTGGTGTTCTGAAATTAATTAAAGAAACATCTTTAATAGGGTTTCAAGACATGTTTCGTGTTACTGCACGAAAAAAAAAACGAGATAGAAGAAGAAAATGTATATATGAATTAGTTTTCAATTACACAACTCACATCCAATAGGCTTACGACGCGAATCCGCGCTTCGCTTGTGCAGCGCCTAAAATCGTTTAGCCGCTACCATGCGCGTGGCGCGAGGCAGGTCGCAGCGAACGTGTTAATAGTAAAATTCAATAATTTGCAAGCGATGTTCGTTCGTAAGTCGATTCATGGTTAAATTATAGACCAAACTGAACAAGTTTGACAATGACACAAGACACGATTCACGCGTCATCTGTCAAAAACAGTGTTGCCAAAAAGATACTAGCAAAAAAATCACCCGTTATAAGTAATCGAAAATACAAAAAAAGACGCGTATTCCCTATTGCGAACGGACTAATCTTCTTTACTAGCTTAGTGAGAGCTGTGTTGGGAAGTCAACGTCTACATGATAGATTGACCAATGTAGGGAGATGAAATACGTAATTATTACTTTTTAGAAACTGTTTTGCCAATACGCATAAAATCCGTAAGTTATTTTTTACTTTTTATCAACAAAACAACGATAAACACCTCGTCTACTCGCCGAGTTTTGGACTTTGGACTCCCTTCGCACGGCATTGAATTCTGTGCTGCGTTGCCACGTTCAGCCTGAAGTAGTGGAAGGTCTTTGAGATGGCTGGTGGATCTATAAAGAAATGTGATGCTTGCAAGAAGAATATCTCAAAATCAGTTCTCAGGCTTCATTGCGGCGTTTGTAAACGCTTCTTTCATCTTGAGTGTGAGAAAGTTAGCGAGGTCGATGCAAGGCTTATGGCAGCTGAAAAAAGAGCATGGAAATGCGGCTCCTGCAGAACACCGTTGGCCTCTCCTCTATCAGCACTGTCAGGTGTTCCTGGTAGGAGGTCTATCCTCATGTCACAACCGATTAACGATCAATCTGATGTCATTACGGAGCTCAAATCTCTTATTAGACAGCTGCAAGACGAGAACAAAGAATTAATCAGATCTTTTGATTTCTTGAGTAGCCAGTGGGAAGAGGAAAGGAAAAGGTCCAAGGTATTGGAAGAGATGGTTGGAGATTTATCCAAGGAGAACCAAATGCTTAGGAAAGATGTTGATGGATTGAAACTTACTCTTAACAAAGAGGAATCTAAAAGGTTGGTTAATAATTTGTCTATTACCGGTCTTGTTACTGAAAATGATGATAAAGAGCAAGCAGTGGAGAAAACTTTGGCTTTATTTTCTTTTCTGGATACACCTATCTCTCGGAATGATGTAGCTCATTTTAAACAAGTTCCAACCAAAAACGGCGTAAAGGCTATAGTTACCTTGAAGCCTGAACATAAAAAGCAGATTCTTACAACTCGTTCCAAAAAAGGTAAACTAACACTTAGGAACACTAAATGTGGTGATGCGGATTCTAGAATATTCGTCGATGAGGAGCTGACCAAGGAAACGTACCAGTTATTCAAACACTCAAGGCAACTTAAGGGTGTTGGCTACAAATATGTGTGGCATCGAGAGGGGAAGATTCTAGCTCGCAAGAATGATGGCTCTGATATTATTTTCATCCGGAATGTTAATCAAGTAAATGACCTACTTAAGTAGCCTTTTATCTCATTTGCTTTGATTGTTTTTTATATATATTTTCCATTTGTTGCTTGATTTTTATAATTTATCATGGCTAGTACGAATCTTGAAAATAATTTAAGGATAGGACATATTAATGTACGTTCACTGATACCAAGTTTGAACGAAATTAAGTCTTCGATAGATAATTTGAAGTTGGACATATTAGGAGTAACTGAATCATGGTTAACTGAACAAGTAAATGAACAGGAAATTAAAATAAACAATTTTAAGTTTTATCGCGTTGATCGTGGGTCTCGGGGAGGTGGAATAGGGGTTTATGTTCGATCTGATATTACAGTAGTTGAGATAGATGTAACTGAGGACCAGAGGGGAATTTTTGAGCAGCAATGGCTTATTCTCAAAATTGGCAAAATAAAATTGGGGTTGGGCATCATTTACCGTCCTCCTCGTTTTAATGTGATGACTGCTTTACGCCAACTGGAAGAATCAATAGCTAATTTAATTCCAGTGACAGATGAATTGATTATAATGGGGGATATTAATATTAATCTATTAAGACATACTAACATAACCAATCAGTTTAATAATTTGCTTGATACTTTCAACTTCAAGCAAGTTGTAATTAACCCAACTAGGTACTCCCGAGACACAGCCAGTTTGATTGATGTCATCATCATGTCCGATGATCATCTCTTAAGTGGCAGTGTCCATCATCAGGACTTGCATCAGCATTCCGATCATCAGCTCATACACTGTTCAATAAATATTAAGATCTCTGCCGTTAGGCCTAGAATTATTAAATATCGTAACTTTAAACACTTTGACATCTATAGCTTCAAACAAGATCTTATAAACTTCCCTTGGTGGCAGGTTATAGACTGTGATAATGTTAACCAGAAGACTGCAATTCTCTCAGATATGATATTGACTCTTTTTGATTCTCATGCGCCAATATGTGAGAAAAAAGTTACCAGGCCACCTTCCCCGTGGTTTACTGATGCGTTGCGTGCGATGAAGAATCACCGTAACTATCTTTTCTCTAAATATAAGCGTACTAAAAATTTACGGGATTGGGCATCCTACAAAGAAATGAGGAATTTTTTTACGTCAGCTGTTCGACAAGAAAAGAGAGCTTATCTTGATTTTGTCAGTCGTACTAAAAAATCCAAAGACATGTGGAAGACACTAGACCAACTTAATATCTATAACAGATCTAAAAAAAATATGGAAATTCCTAACCATCTTAAAAACCCAAATTTAATTAATCAATATTTTATCGACTCGGTGCGACAAATACCTAGCACTGTCGATACGAATACTATTTCTAAATATCTTAATTCCAAATGTACAACCGCAGAATTTGAATTAAAACTCGTTAGTGAAGATGACGTTTTCTGGGCAATATCGGAGATTGGGTCAAACGCCTCTGGTGCAGACGGAATTAGCCTTGACATGGTGAGGTTGTGTTGTCCAACGATCTTACCCGTGCTGGTTAACCTATTTAATTCCTGCATACAAAAGGGCATCTTTCCTGCCCAATGGAGAACGGCTGTGGTCCTGCCGCTGCCTAAAATTAGCAGTCCTAAGGATGTCTCTGATTTGCGACCAATTAGTATACTACCAGTGCTGTCTAAAGTATTTGAAAAGCTTATTTATAGGCAAATCATTACTTATTTCACAGATAATAATTTATTACCCAAGTGGCAGTCTGGATTCCGTAAAGGGTTTGGTACTACCACGGCTCTGTTGAAGGTTCTAGATGACATTCTTTTGGCTGCGGACAGGGGTGAAACTTCGGCATTGGTGTTGTTGGACTTTAGCAAGGCCTTCGATACCCTGAACCATCCATTGCTGTGTGCAAAACTTTTGTACTATGGATTTAAACTTAAGACTATTCAACTTATTCGTAGTTATTTGGATGACAGATCGCAGTCGGTCTCAATTGATGGACTTAAATCAAAATCCTTGAACGTGGATAGAGGAGTTCCTCAGGGATCACTTTTGGGTCCTTTATTTTTTATCATTTTTACTGCTGATATGTCGAAGTGCTTTGGTGACATAAACAATCATAGATACGCTGACGATACACAGATTCAGCTTTCTTTTGTTAAGTCGGACGCAATTGAAGCGGCTAGGAGGCTAAACGAGTGTTTGGATTCAGTTTTTAAATACTCTTTTAATCATGGCTTGAAATTGAATCCTAATAAATCAGCCATAATCTACTTTGGGCCAGCTAAAGATTGGGCGTCTGTAAACTTGGTGATAGCAATGGATGGTGTGGCAATACCGGTTGTTGAGGAATATAAAAATTTGGGCGTTATCTTTGATAACAAGCTTAGATTCCGAAGTCATGTGTCTAGACTTCTACAAAAAGCCTATTTTAACCTTCGCAATATTTACAAAAGTAAAGATATTCTTAGTTTTAAGTTAAAAAAGGTTCTCTGCGAAGCACTGGTCTTGTGTCACCTTAACTATTGCAACTTTGTGTATGGTCCTTGCTTAGATGTATTTACTAAGGATAAACTCCAAAAAGTGCAGAATTCTTGCATACGACTTATTTACCAGCTTAGACGTCACGATCATGTGAGTCATAAACTTTCCGAACTGAAATGGTTGAATGTTTCCAATCGAGAAAAGCTGCATTTTGCTTGCTTTCTTCATAAATTGATTAAAACTAAAAGCCCTCCATATCTGTTTGAAAAATTAACTCGTAGAAATCTGATTCACTCTCGTGCAACACGCTTTAATGTACTTTATGAAATACCTAAAATAACTAAAACCATGACTCAAAGCTCATTTTCCTGTACATCAGTCAAACTTCTAAACCAATACAATATAGGTCAATTTGAAGATATGTCTCCTAATATGTTCAAACGAAAACTGAAACAACTGCTTCTGTGAAGTATAAGTTGTTTATTATTGCTTATTTTCTTTGTATACGTACATCTGTAGTTATTATTGTTCATTGTTGTTATGTAATATTCTAAAATTAATGTAATGTAAAACTTGTTTCTTGTCATATTACTTTTCTTTTTGGCTTGTTGTTACTTTTTACATGCTCGGTTAAGTTAACAGCATAGCTGGCCTTCGCCGAGTTTAAAATAAAGGCGTTTTTATTTATTTATTTATTTATTACTATACCCTTGTGTTTGAATTCTATTCTGTTTAGTTACAAAATCGCCATCCTACTTCCTATAATAATCTACCTGTTGAGGGACCCGTTTCACAATTTATGTATAATTTATTCCTGTCAGGCATTATTATTTATAAAAAAATCATATTTTTATTTCGACGATATGCAAATTGCCGGTAGATATTTCAATTAACATTCAAGTTGTTTATTCAAACTGAATTTATAATTGCAAGGAGATGGAACGTTAATTTTTTCCAGCATCGCCATGATATTTCATAGTAGAATGCTGAGGTCGCTGAATCTCTAGGTAATTAAAAGATGTAGTAACTAGAAAAGTTGCTAGAAGTTGAAATGTCTCTCCTGAAGAGTTGATATTGGTCACTTACAAACTGTGCTTACAATGTTATTAGATGCATATATCGATATCCCTTCATCCACATTTGTGACAAATCTTGTCTTGGCCAATCTTTTTTCCGAGCTTGCCGTTTTAAACTTCAGCATTTATTGGTTTATTTGTTTGGTTCATTCAATATTTGCAGTTTTTTTATTTGTCAGGTCAAAGGGCGATGATCTGAGAGACAACTATACATATTGCTACACGATAAGCTTCTAGCGGCACTGTGTAAAATGTGATATTTTAATTTACAGGTTGTTCCAGATAGCACTGGCGGTATGACTGTCGCTAAAACCGATAATGTAAGTATTTTTCACAATATTATTATTATTAGAAAATGAGAATGAACGTAGTACAATACTATTAGCTCATGTACAAAAAAGAAAAGTAGTCTACTGATGAAAAAGTTCATAGCTATTCCACTTATCATCTCATCATAATGAACTTTGAAGCTATTGATTGACATAGGATTAACCACAGTTTCTGGTAAATTATTCCAAGTGTACAGTATATTCAGATAAGAGATAGACCGGATGTAAACAAAAGGTTCGGGTGATTTTCACACTAACGCCGCCGTCTCGACGTAAAACAGGAGCCCTCATTGGTCAATTCGCAATTAAATGCCTATGCCGAGCAGCAGAGCAGTCGTATCAAGGCAGAGTCACATTCAGGTTCAGACGTATTACGTATGTCGTGTGCATCATTGCAATTTGATATTTCTTTGGACGTTTTCGTTTGTTATCTTATTAAGTTGTTGAGTTTGTCGTTGTTATTGTTATACGTTGTTATTGATTGTTATTGTTATCAACTGCTTGCGCAAAATGCCCAGTAGTACAGATACTGCCGATGAAGTTGTAAACTCCTGTAGTCCACCTAGGAAACGCTCTAAAAGAAGACACCTGAGTGCAGAAATGAAAGAGGTCATTTTGAATATATATAAGATCGAGCGCGAGGAGAACGAGGCATCAACCATCAAAGAAATTGTTGTGAAGGTTTCTCACAGAGTTGGGGTGTGTCGCGCATCAGTGTTTAATGTGTTAAGACAATACAAAAAAAATCACACCTTTTCTGAGCCAATGTCCAGTAAACATCGCAAAAGTATTGTTAAATCATTGGATGAAGCTGATAAGCATGCGATTAGGAGGAAAGTGCATGAATTCTTCTTTAGGTATGAAATACCTACTATAGATAAAGTACTGCAGGAGGTAAATGGAGATACAACGTTGCCAAATTTCAAACGATCAACTTTCCATGCGTTACTGAAGCATTTAAATTTCAAATGGAAAAAACGGGGTCGTAATAGTTTACTACTGGATAGAGAAGAAATTGTGCTAAGGAGGAGGGATTATTTAACAAAAATTGGGAAATATAGAAATCAAAACAGGAAGATTTATTACCTTGATGAAACGTGGGTAAACGCAGGACACACTACAAGTAAAGTATGGGTTGATGATTCTGTAACTTCATCCAGGAGGGCCTTTCTAGATGGACTGTCCACCGGATTAAAAAATCCAGCAGGTAAATTCGAGTAATAGACAACAATCGGATGTTTTTCAAACCTTGGGAACAAGGTTCTAAACATTAATTCCAGTGGGCAGATAAAACATATTACAAGTAACAAAACTTTTATAACTTTCGATAAAATGCGTGGATGTTTTATTGTCATTTTCATTTGTTAGAACTTTTTTAAGCCATGTTTTTATGTGTTTTCGATATTTCAATAATTTTTTAATATAATCTTAAAATATGTCGAATATTATAAACTTAAAAAAAGTTACTAAGTTTTACATTGTGTACCGTTCCTAATATTTCTAATCATTTTAATTCATATTTTAAGCTTTATAAAGTTATAATTTGTTAATATTAATATTTGCGCGTATTTCAGGTTCCTGATCATTCATTTTTTAAAGGTTTATAACTTTAAATTAAATTGTGAAGCGCTGAGTAATCATACGACGTTCAATATTCTTTCTTTCAATATGACTAAATAATCCCAATTATCGCAATCTGATACTCATGTCTCAATGTTTTTTCGCTGAATGTGATGAAAACATTTGAAAAAGGTTCGCTTATTGAAATAAATCTACACCAGTTAGTACTTCGATTTCCAGGTAAAGGGAAAAGGCTCATTATCTGCCATATTGGCAGTGAGGATGGATTTGTTGTTGACGGTCTGTGGTGCTTTGAGTCTAAGAAAACTGGAGATTACCACTAGGAAATGAATGGCGAATCGTTTAAACAGTGGTTTTCAAAGATTTTACCGAACTTAGAAGAAAACGCAGTAATTGTGTTGGATAATGCGCCTTATCATTCTCGAAGAATGGAGAAGGTCCCAACAACGGCTTCAAGGAAAGTTGATGTTCAAAATTGGCTCCGCTCGAAAAATATCAACTTTGAAGAAGCAATGCTGAAAGTACAATTATTAAGAATTGTCAAGGATCACAAGGCGGAATATCAAAAATACGCCATTGACGAAATGGCAGCAAGTCAAAATAAAACTGTGCTCCGTTTACCTCCATACCATTGCGAGCTCAATCCCATTGAGCTCATATGGGCAGAGGTTAAAAATTATATAGCTAAGCACAATACAACTTTTAAATTTTGTGACCTCAAAGGACTTTTCAAAGAAGCACTGGAATTAATAACAGCGCAAAAATGGGAAAACTGTATTAAGCACGTGAAAGACAAAGTTGAAAAGAGAATGTGGGAACTGGTCAATATTTTAGAGGAACAAGTCGAGCCATTCATTATTGACGTTGGTGCTTCAGGCAGTAGCGATGATGAAAGCTCATCAAGCTCGTCTTTCCAATAAAAGATGTCGTTCATCAAATTCGGTAAGTTATAAGTAATTATAAAGCTACTGTATTTTTTAATTAATTATTGACATTTTTGAAACCATTTTGGCAAAACCTATTCAAGAATCTACTTTCTGACAATGTTCAACCATGCACATTTTTTTACGTTTTGAACGTTTTAATTTGGTTACATATTTACCTAGAAATCAAAAAATATACTAATCAATATTCTAAAAGCAATTTTAAGAGATATACGATTATTTTTAATTTAGGCAAATTTAAACGCCATTTTGAGATTATATTCGACTGTATTTCACCAAACATCAGGCGGCATCCGAAGCTGGAAATCGAAGCGAAAATTTTGAAACCCTTATGTATATTTACATCATTATATATTTCTTACCCCACCCCCACATGATCCTATATCCATCACCAATCGTATACACATCGAATTGTGCTAATTTACTACAAAGTTACGCAAAGCAGCATCTACTATCTAAAATATGTACTGCGTGACTCTTAATACGTCCCTGCCGAATGTTACAGCGTTCGATGATCATGTGGTCTTGTTTATGTCCGGTCTATCTCTTATCTGAATATACTGTAGAATAGGCGATTGGGGAGAAAGCGGCTCCTTTCGCAGCTGAAAACTGTGACCGCGGAGATTGCTGCGTGAAGTTGGTATAGCAGCTAGCAAATTAAAAGCGCTGCAAGTCGATTCGGGATGGAATTTTTCGATGCTTACGCTGTATCAGAAGCATTTGTCTAGAGTCTAGACCGACGTGTTTTGCTTCGACTTATGGATGCTGGTAGTTCTTTATTTCGGTACGTAGAAACGTGGTACATGTTAGTGTGTCTGCTGGCGTCTGATACTGCCTCAGTCTAGACGCCGGAGATGATTAAGACGTCGACCGAAATTAAACGGGCGTTTTAAAGCACCTAATAAATCTTCGACTCGGACACGTTGTATAGACAGTACGTTACGTGGTCGAAAAACCCGTACCGTGAAACACGCAAATACGGATATTGAGCGTACTTCATCAGTCTTTGTTTTCAGTTGCAGTGCGTTCTAGATTGGTTTTTTAAGACATAACTGAATGACATGACATTTCATTTTTGGTCACGACTTGAAAATTACCTTTATAATTGTACACAAAAACTTAACGGGGCTCCTACAATCACGAGCCCCATCTGCTGAGGTAACGGGGGGGTGAAAAGGAAACGAAGGCAGGCTGGCCTTAGACGCTCGTCGGCGCTACTTTGCGTGTGCGTACCGAGGTAAATTTTAGTAATAACAGAGTCGGATTTCGATTAGCGATCTAGCCTGTAAATCGTTTCCTATTTTAATTGTGTTCATTGACATGAATAAACGAATTTGAATTTGAGTTCTTGAATTTATTTTAGGAAAGATATCAAATTATTTGAAAACATTTCTTCTTAGTCGGAACGCACCGTCGCGTCGCTTGGACTGGCAGGACGAAACAGTAGATGAATTTCGCCCAACAACCGATTTGCACTTCACAGCCTACGTTTCATTTTGTTAAGTATTTCCGAATGAAACTTTTGCAGCGCGTTAAAAACAAAGTCCACGTGGTGCCAGCGATCCACTTTTTCGATTTTATCCACTAGGATCTTTTTAGAATATCAAGAAGTTGAGCACAAATAGTAAGCATTTCAACCGCCATAATTCTTGAGCAAAGACAAAATTTTGTAAAAAGCTCTGATAGCACCCTAGGCAATTATGTCCTGCTTATATCCAGAAAAACATCACAAACTGCAGAACACAAATTGAAGGTAACGGCGGAATGGGTACATTTCACGGGTGATGAAATTCAAATGAAAATGCAGGTATAAAATCTACCAAATTATCATTCTCAAAAACATATTTCCTTGACATATCGATAATTTTAAAGTTCCACGCTAAATTCCCCCATACTTGACTGGAATGATATCCGAATTTATTCTTCCGTACTGTCGGTTGTTTCAGATCTGTTAGCTCTTGGTGTCAAACCTGTAGAGCAGGTACCGATTTTTTCAATTCGTGAGCACATTATTCTTCGGATTTTCCTGTAATTACTGGGATCAGAAGCTTCTTAATAATAGAACGTGTTTCACTGATTTCAACCCCTTCTTTTTAAGCAGTACCATTTCTTATGTCAATGATTAGGAACCCCTGAAAAGTCAAAAACGGAGTTTCAGCAATTGTTACTTTTCCTTTTTTGCTTATAGCACCGTTGCCACTGGACTAAATCTACAAAGCTTTGGCGTACTAGTAACCACGTGTAGAAATTTCATAAAAATCCGAGAGGTAATTTCCAAGTTCATTTTAGAAATTTTTCGCGATTAAAATACTTTCTCACCAATGGCGTGGGAAATAAAACGGCTTTAAAATCTAGGAGTATCAGCGATCGCTATTATGAGCACCTATTTGCAGAACGACTTATCTACGCGATATTATATGAAAAAGGCCACCAAATTATCTGAATACGTCCTTTCTTAGTCCGTAC